CAGCTGGGCAGTGGGAAACTGGAGCATGTTTAGTGGGGTTTCTGGCCCTGGGAATGCGCCCCCAGCAACCCCTCATCCTGGACTTTGTTTACACTAGTCCAAATCAGGCCGAGTGTAAATAAATGACACTCGGTAAATTTTCTCTCACTCAGACCCCCAGCGTCACTGTCCCAGCCTCCTCCGTATCGAGCCTTGCTTCGTTTCTCAGCTTTTCATTCCTCAGTTTCTGGACTCGTCACGCAACCGCCGCTCCCTCACCCAGAATGCACCATGGCTCGACTCAACGAACCTCCCGTATCTGCAGATAGCATCGACATATGTATGTTCCGTTGATTTCTTCAATATTGTTGGAGCCCATCAACTAATGTCCTGTAGTGCGCAGGAAGCTATTGCGCCAGAATAGAGATCTCGCAAAAGCAAACGCCGTCCACTTACTCCGCATCCGTACCATCGAAGCCGACTTCGCGCGGTCTCTGTCTGACAATCTTCGACTAGAAAGCCGCATTATTGAATTAGAAAAGGAGCTGGAGGATAATAATGCCAGAAGGATAGCCGACCACGCTCTGGACATCAGGTCCAGACTCGAGGCACAGCTCTCAGAATGCATGTCTGTTCTTTCCAGCCTTGGCCAGGAGCCCCCCACGAAGAGGCACGCGAGTCCCAGGGGCAGAAGATCATCACGAGCAAGTCTGCCGCTTCAAAGCCCCCCTCGAAGACGTCCGCCACGCGAGTTGATGAGGGAGGCAGGGGCCCGAGCGCCGGAGGATGATAAGCTGCCAACGATCGCAGAAAACAAATCCTACCCAAGAGCAACTTTGGAGTAAGTCAAGCAACGTCCGCATTCGCAGAAACCCCTTTTTGCTGACGCGCCTCTCAAGTCGCGAACAAATCTTGGCCCTTTGCTCCGAAGCTGCAGATACGACCGACACAACAGACTCGCCAGAGCTCGGCCCCCCGCCTGTGTCTCGATTTGTTGACGGCGAAACTGTCGATATTGGATCACCCAGCAAATCCATCGAGTACGTTGAGCCGGAACCACTCGCGCACAGTTCTCCAGCAGTTTCACCGATCCCGTCACCAGCACCGGCGCCAGTCTCGGCGACCAAATCAACACCAAGGATGGAGAAGAACCTCATCGTCCGCCCCGACCCTGTACCTACCACTGAGGCATCTGAACCTCAGAGAGTGCTTCAGAAAGAAAGCCCCATCTTGCCTCCTGTCGTGCCCAGTGTATCTGCCAAGACAGGCTCCAAGCGGAAGTACAGTGTTGGGGAGGATACGAGTAAGACAGGGCAGCACACAGCTGAACCGCAAAAGTCGAAGAACATTTCGGAACGTTCGCTCATCGGACGAGATCACCAGACCGGGAAAACATTGAAGGAGCTGGCAAGCATCCGACGTGAGGCGAGGGAACGTATGGCTCCACCCGTCAACCCAAGGAAGCCTTTGTCGGCAAAAAGCACGAACGATGACATGACTTCTCCGATCAAGATCGCAAAGGCTGCAGCGGCAGAGGGCAAAATCGGAGTTGAGAAGGCAAAGCCGCGGGCAGCAAGAGAACGAGCGGCGCAAAAGATCAAGGAGACTGAGGCTGGGGAGAACGACGTCGATAATGCGCCTGTTGAAATACCCATGGCAGCCCCATTGTCCCCGACTTCAGTTGTCAATGTTCTCCCTAGCACAGAAGCTGTTCCCCTCGAAGCTGCTTTGCTTTCACCGGCTTCCCCAGAGCAGACGTCCAGAATGAGCCTGTCTAGTGTCAGGGACACTCCACCGCCTGCCGAAATATCCTCTCATGGGGAGACATCACGACCAAGCAGGCGAGCTCGATCTGCCGTCAGTTATGCTGAGCCCAACTTGCGAGACAAAATGAGACGTCCGACCAAGGAGCTTTATGACGCAGTGTCTGGGCAGACTAGATATCTGCAGCGCGGTGGGAGCGCCAAATCGGACAGTGCCACGCCGGACGCCACTGTCACGATCAAGCGCGAGTCTGCCGACGGCGATACGCTAAGGCATATTCCATCTCTTGCGCCATCCACAGTTGATACCCCACAAAGAACGTCAAGCCCTGCTGAGATGACAAGCATGCGATCGTTGGACACCGAACCTGGCCCAGCAAGGCCTGACCGTAAGAAGCGAACATCATCGATGATGTCGAGGTCCATATCCGAGACTGAAGAAGAGACATCGGCCCGAGAGGCTCAAATCGCTTCTCCGGGTCGTTCCACTTCATCATCGTCTACCGAGGTCGTCGATCCTTACGATTTCACCACCTCGACCCCGGGAAGTGACAGTTCGCGCATCATTGAAATGAAGGAAAGCGCGCCGCCAGCAAGACAATCCAAGTCTTCGAGACGGCTCTCGTCCGTCGTGAGAGAGGACTTCAAGATTGAAAGCCTTGAGGGGGCCGAGCGAGCAAAGACTGGCGTATCTAGGAAGAGGGCTTCGATGGTACTGCCAAAGAGGACCCGAGCGGATACGGAGGGCTCCGAAGATAGCAGCTTCGAGAGCCTGGACGGTGACATTCAGGAGTCGTCGAAAATCTCTGTGAGAAGGAGGAGGAGCATGATGTTATAATGACTTGACGGTTGGCAAGCACCGGTGTTTTTGGAGTTGGACATCGCAGATCCCATTCTGATTGTTGGGTTACTGTTCTGTACTAGTGTTTCAGTGGCTTCATTGTCTGGTTACCGAGAGGGGAAACAAATGGACTCCTGTGCATATTGGCGAGAGCATCAAACATGAGTCCATAGATATGTTTGGCTGAAACCGATATTATTATAATGATCATCATTCGCCTAAGAATTCGTGTGGTCTTGATACATGATATCAGCCATCGGTGACTGAACCTCCCGTTTTGGTTAAATTCAATGTCTCCTGCAGCAGCTCGTCTTGCATGATGACGGCTCATGATGTTGCAGACGGCTCCACGGGCTTCGTGTAAGTCACCTTTTCCACCGCAACATTCTCATTTCCCTTGTCGTCCTTGCGTAGTTGGTAAACATATAGAGTCAGCGAAATGCCTTGAACCTACGTTGACAATCAGCAAACGTTCCCGCAAGCCCCCATAACAAGGGGGAATTCCACAGATACGTACGTCCATCAGGCAGAAACTTGGGACGGGCTCCTCGCCGTCCTTGCCCCAGCCTGCGGTAAAGGCGCCAGTAGCACTACCGGGGTTGACGAAGAACTTGTCCATGTACTCGAAGGCATCGAACTTGTGGGTGCCACCCCAACAGAGAACGTCGACATCGAGCTTATTGGCCTCGGCGAGGAGCAGATCGGGTTCGTTGGAGACAAGAGTGAACCCCTCGAGGAAGCCAATGCGTAGAGAGCCGTGAGTGACTACCTGGGTTAGGGGCAGGCTTGTGGCCTCGACATCGTAACGGCCCTTGACGATCTTGAGGTCCGGAGCGATGGTACGGAGGTACTCGTACGTGTGCTTGTCGGTCAGGTTGCCCAGGCAGAGAGTTTGGCCAATCTTGCCTGGAGCAAGAAGCTTCTTGAACTGCAGTGGTTGTTGGTGTCAGTCCAAGGTCGATAGTAGCTTGCAATACATCAGACGAGCTGCGCATACCTTTTGGGGGATATCGAGAGCGCGGTCTGGGATGTGCAGGTCGCCGATGACCAGTATTAAGAAAGCCATGGTCGTTAGGGGTGTGTATAGTTATCGATTGGGTCTTACGATGGTGATGGAGTCGCAGCGGCGGCGCGTGGGACACTGGTTGGGATGTCGGGAGGTCGGTGGTTGCGCAGGAGGGTCGCGCGGCCGATTGGGAGGCCGAGGGCCGGACACAGTTCCTCTTCGGAGGACGTCTGATATCGACACGCTGAGCGGCAGATTATCCTCGCGACGGTCGATGGTCGGGCGTGTTGCTGTTCCAGCGGGCGACGTAATATCTTGCGGATCTCCAGGCAGGTAAGGTCGCAGCTTGGCTGCTTGTCGGAGGCACTTGGTAGCTTGCTGCGACCACTCTCCTACCTTAGCCTCAGTTGCAAGTGGGGACCTCCATGCGACAGTGCAGGCACGTATAGTCAAGCCACACTATCTGTCGAAGCACCACTTCATCTGTGGCTGGCCATGGTTCGGATGTCTGCCCGATGGGGTTAGTGCTCGGGGGACTCGGAAGACCGCCGATGTCGTCCGGTGTACGCCGCCAAACCAGTCCCTGCGAAGAAGCTCTCAGTCTGGTTCCAGCCAGCTTGTTTGTGTGTCGTGGACTGATGCTCCTCCAGCGCTTTGAACGGTGGCCTCCACTTTCCGACACCAACGAACGACGGCATCCGCCCTGACTCGAATCCCGAGTTACCTCCAGTATGACCATATCACATTGTGATTTAGTCTTCGCGTTAATAGTGTTCACCAGCCCATTGTCTGAAGACATACTGTAAGGACCCCTTTTCTTTAGACGGCAGGACTTGCAGCAGCATCCTTTGTGCTCAATTGCTTTTTGCTAGCAGGACAGGGGAAAGTGAGAGAGGGAAAAAGATCCATCAGGGGGATCCAGCTCCGATTTCCGCCCGCTTAAACTCAGTGTAATCTTCTGTCCTTCTTCTTTTTTTTTTTTTTCATCTTCTCCCGCTGCCACGGGAATAAACTGAGCAAAGTTGTAAGCGTAACCATTCCAAAACGTGTCTATCTTGCCCAATCCCGTCTGGTCCCAATCCAAACCTCCATATCTCGGTTCCGTCCCGTCTGAAAGCGACGCTCGGCTTACGTTCCGACCTCTGACGCCACAGGCACACATGCACGTTCCCTTACGGCGGCTCCAGCTCCCGCTCCTGCCTCTCCGCACTCTGGCAAAGGGGGGCAGAATGCCCCTCCATAACCTTAACAACCCCTCATCAGCCCGGGTATCTCTCATCTCGAGGCACTTGCGACAGCCGGAACCGCAGACTACTTCAACTCCTGTAAGTCCACCTCACAACCTTCTATTGATCACCTCTTTTCTCATCTATATCTGGTTCAGCAGCAGCAACAAAGACTACATTCCACCATGTCTACTCAACCACCCCACCCCACGCTCCTCATCCCTGGGCCCATCGAGTTTGATGATGCTGTCCTGCAGTCCATGAGCCACTACAGGTCCGTGCTATCAGATATGCCCATTTCCCAGGTGGAGCTCCACCTGAACTGACCTCCAGCTCGCGATGATCCATTGCTGACCAGAAGTCGACTTGCACAGTGAGAGCCACGTCGGCCCTGGCTTCGTCAACACCTTCGGCGAGGCGTTGTCCATGCTGCGCCAGCTCTTCCAGACTACCGATTCCTCGTCGCAACCCTTCGTCATCTCCGGCTCCGGCACCCTTGGCTGGGATCTCGTCGCTGCCAACCTCGTCGAGGCCGGCGAGGACGTCCTCGTGCTAGCCACCGGCTACTTCAGCAATGGCTTCACCGACTGTTTCAAGACCTACGGCGCCAACGTTACCGAGCTCAGAGCCCCCGTTGGCTCCCGCCCTCAGTTGCCCGAGATCGAGAAGGCCCTGTCCGAGAAGAAGTACAAGGTTCTGACCGTCACCCACGTCGATACCTCCACTGCTGTGCTCAGCGAGCTCAAGGACTTGGCTGCTGTCGTCAAGAAGGTGTCTCCCGAAACCCTCATCATCGTCGACGGTGTCTGCAGTGTCGGCGTTGAGGAAATCAAGTTCGACGAATGGAAGCTCGATGGTGTCATTACCGCTTCGCAGAAGGCCATTGGCGTTCCCGCTGGTCTGTCGATATCCATGTTCAGTGGCAAGGCGATGCAGTCTTTCCAGAACCGCAAGACCCCGCCGGCGTCTTACTTTGCCTCCTTCATGAACTGGACTCCTGGTAAGCCACAGATGTAGAAGTCGGTTGCGAGTCCATTATTGACCATGCGCAGTCATGCAAAACTACGAGGCGAAGAAGCCTTCCTACTTTGCGACACCCTCTCCTCAACTGATCCACGCTCTGCACACCGGTCTTACCCAGATTCTCGCCAAGCCTCTGTCTGAGCGCTTCGCCAGGCACAAGGAGGTTTCCGACAAGGTCAAGAAGGCCGTCGCCGATCTTGGACTGAAGCAGGTTGCCGCGAAGCCCGAAGACCAAGCCCATGGCATGACCGCCGTCTACCTCCCTGAGAGCGTCAAGGCTACTGATATTCTTCCCAGCTTGGCCAAGAAGGGTATCGTGTTTGCCGGTGGTATTCACAAGGAGATTGCGCCCAAGTACATTCGCTTTGGACACATGGGCGTCAGCGTTGTAAGTTCTTACTGTACGGATACCTGGATAATGGTATACTAATAAACACAGACGGACCCCAACCGCAAGGACATCGACAACGCCATCAAGGCGCTGCAGGACAGCCTTTTCGAGGTTGGCTACCAGAAGCCGTAAGCGGTGGTTTATAGAAGGGTTTGCATTTTGTACATCTCAACTAGACGGTTATCCCTCAGGCAGTATAGAAAGAAAAGAGAAAAAAAAAAAAGAAAAAAAAAAGGAATCACGATTCATTTTGTGAAAGACTATGGTCGCCTTGGAAACGTTTGGTGAAGTAAGACTCAACCAGCGCTTAAGTTGATAGGTTGTGATAGTTACGTGGGAACGAGTGCCTTGTCCGGACTCAATCGCAACAGGGGTCTGCTCAGAGCCGCGCGGTAGCGGATGAGGTTCGCCCCTCAGACTGGCATGGTAGGTAATGAATCACCTTGAACGTTGTCGAATCAGCCCCATGATCGGACGATAGAGGATTTCGGCCGAGTCTCCTGTTGGCGGGGTTTGAGGAAACCATAATGTGGCATCTGGTGTGATGCGAGAACGACCGCATACGTGCATGTATGCCTGCGTCCATTGACATGATCTATTACTAATAGCGATCCGGCGACCTCCTCGGTGTGCTGGGCGCATTGTTGTCCGATGAAAGCATGTACTGTGATTATCGCCGAAAAGGTGGGGTGAGGAGGGGATGAGTAGAAGGCTGGGAAGTCTACCTGAATGTGTGACGCGATGTATCAGTACATGGTGCCTTGGCTGGACAATATTCTCAGGCGCAGGGTAATAATTGGGCGAGGATGCTCCGATGCCATCCGATACTCCAATTTGGAGGCGCCTTGAGGTATGCTGTCACGGCTGTTCAAGTGTCGATGCGACGGGACTGGACAGGTCGGCCGTGTTGTCGGAGAGTCCGAGGGATGCACGAGGCAAGAGCTCGGTGAACAAGGTGAACATGAACAAGGTGAACAAGGTGAAGGAGGTGAGTCCTGCCTGCCTATGACGCGCATCCACACATTCGGGTGTTATCTTGAGGCGGGTGCATTGGCCGTGGGCGTGGCACACCAGCAGGAGGGCAGCCTCACAGCAGACGGGCCAATATCAGAGGATGGGGAACCCAGAGCTCAGCTGCAGCCCAGTTCGGTTGTTGCAGTTGGCGGTCGCAGGGTTCACCGCGCCAGTGATTGCAGCAACAGGCCCGGTGGAAAAGAGGGGAAGAGGGGTGCCTGGGTAACGCAGGCCGAGTGGATGAGGTGGAAAGAAACGATCCAATGCCAAAGGGGAAAGAAAGTCTTCAAGGCCAGGCGGTAACGTGGTCCGGCCCAAGCTTCTAGCCCATTCGCGAGTTCCCGTTCTGCTGCTGTCAGGCTACCCAGGTAGGCACCTAAGGTAGGCTGCTCACCTCAGTGCTCTGTGCTGGCGGTCTTTAGGTGCCCTTGGCTCCGGTCCCAGTGGCCCAAAACCAGACCTATGGCAAGTATCGATACCTGTGGCTGGTGGAGTTAGCGGGCGGCTGACAAAATTGGTTGTCCCCCGCCATCCGCCTCTTTCGCTCTCTCGATAACCAACCTATCCTCGCCTCCACGCCAGGCAGACTTTCCTCACCACATATTCTCCTCTGCGACCTCTACCTTCTCTCTCCTCTTTTCCTTCTCTCTCCCCCCCATTGCAACAATCTCCCGAATCATCACCAGCTGGCCTCGTTCCTTGCTGTATTTACCGTAGCGCTCGCAGCACTCTTGCGCCGCGCTCTCTATTGTTTCCCCTCCTCCTCATAGAGAGCCTGCGACCAGTTCCCCCTCATCCGCTGCCTCTTGCGATCGAGATCGACCTTCGACCACCCCGCCCGCCGTACCGCACCACACGCGATGGCTATTACGATCCCGGAGCTGGACGACCTCGTCCGCTCCTTCTACGAGGGCCGTGGCGAACAGGTGCGCAGCTTTTTACACATTCGAATAAATAGAGATTTTTGGCCCGAGGCTGACCGACCATTTGTCCCATACAGCAAAAGCAAGCGCAAGCTGCACTCAACCAGGTACGAACCCAATCCCCTCCCGCCATCGTATCCTATTTCAAGTCTCTAACTATATCCTTCTTGCAGTTCAAGGAAGATCAAGATGCTTGGCTCCTCGTCGACAAGATCCTCTCCGAAGCGACCTACCCCCAAACGAAGTGTATGCCCAGCATAAATTACCCTTTTCTGGCCTTGCAGACCAGCTGACGGATACAGACTTGGGCTTGCAGGTGCTCGACAACGTGATCATGACGAGATGGAAGGTTCTCCCAAGAGATCAGTGTCAAGGTTTGGAGCTTGCTACACCGCGCTTTTACACCGCGACTGACCCAACCAGGTATACGTAACTTTGTTGTGCAGTTCATCATCCAGTGCTCCAGCTCAGAAGAGACTATGAAGGCTGAGCGCACCCTGCTCAACAAGCTCAACCTCGTCCTGATTTCCATCCTCAAGCAGGAATGGCCCCATAACTGGCCTACCTTCATCAACGAGATCATCACGTCGTGCCACTCGAGTCTATCCATCTGCGAGAACAACATGGTCATTCTCCGCCTGCTGTCCGAAGAGGTCTTCGACTACTCTGCCGAGCAAATGACTTCCGCCAAGACTCGAAACCTCAAAACCACCATGTGCGCCGAGTTTTCTCAGATTTTTACCCTCTGCCAGGAGGTCCTTAACACCGCCGACCAACCGAGTCTCGTCAAGGCTACCCTCGAGACATTATTGCGCTTCTGCAACTGGATCCCCCTCGGCTACATCTTCGAGACCCCCCTGATTGACACTTTGCGAACCCGATTCTTGCCTGTTCCCGAGTTCCGCAACGTTACTCTGCAATGCTTGACGGAGATTGGCGGTCTGCCGACCGGTGGAAACACTTACGACGAGCAGTTAGTCAAGATGTTCACTGAGGTCTTGACTACCATCGCAACGATTATCCCCATTAGCCTGGATCTGAAGTCGACATACCCGAATAGTAACTCTAGAGACCAAGAGTTCATTCAGAACTTGGCTCTGTTTTTGTGCAATTTCTTCGGGATGCACCTCAACGTAAGAATCGCTGCGTAGCTGCTGATAGATCCAAGCTGACACTCTAGCAGCTTATCGAGAACTTGCCCAACCGGGACTTCCTTACGCATGGCCACTATTACTTGATCCGCATATCCCAGATCGACGACCGCGAGATCTTCAAGATCTGCCTCGACTACTGGCTCAAGCTCGTTCAGGAGCTCTTCTCGGAGATGCAGCAGCTCCCTATGACGGAAGTGAATCCCTTGATGGGCATGGCTGGAGGAATCACTGGAGCCGGCGCGCCGAGTCCGGACATGCTGAACAACTATCCGCTGCGCAAGCACAAGTACAACGAGGTCTTGTCGAACCTGCGTACAGTCATGATTGAGAAGATGGTCCGTCCCGAGGAGGTTCTCATTGTTGAAAACGACGAGGGAGAGATTGTTCGTGAATTCGTCAAGGAGAGTGACACGGTACAACTCTACAAGACTATCAGAGAGTGCTTGGTGTACCTGACGCACTTGGACGTCGTCGATACCGAGAACATCATGACGGAAAAACTCGCCCGTCAAGTCGACGGTAGCGAATGGTCATGGCACAACTGTAATGTGCTCTGCTGGGCCATTGGTTCTATTTCTTTGGCTATGAATGAAGATACCGAGAAGCGCTTCTTGGTTACGGTCATTAAGGATCTTCTTGGTCTCACGGAGATGAAGCGTGGCAAGGACAACAAGGCTGTGGTTGCGTCCAACATTATGTACATTGTTGGACAATACCCGCGTTTCCTGAAGGCTCACTGGAAATTTCTTAAGACGGTTGTCAACAAGCTCTTCGAGTTCATGCACGAGTCCCACGAGGGTAAGTTGGAACCATGCACAGTCGCATCGGCCTTCTCTTGCTAACTCACTATAGGTGTTCAGGACATGGCTTGTGACACGTTCATCAAGATCGCGAGACAGTGCCGTCGTCACTTCGTTGCTCTTCAGCCGTCTGAACAGGAGCCATTCATCGAGGAGATTGTCCGCAACATGCACAAGATCACTTGCGATCTGTCCCCCCAGCAGGTTCACACTTTCTACGAGGCGTGCGGCTACATGGTGGCAGCTCAGGGCAACAAGCACCAGCAGGAGCGGCTCTTGAGTGACCTGATGGCTATCCCCAATGCTGCATGGGACGAGATCATTAAGCAGGCGCGGATGAACCCGGTCATTTTGCAGGATGCTGAGACTATCAAAGTCATCGGCAACATCATGAAGACGAACGTCTCAGCCTGCACGTCTATCGGCCCCTACTTCTACCCCCAGATCGGCCGCATCTTCCTTGACATGTTGCAGATGTACCGAGCTACCAGTGAGCTGATCAGTGAGGCTGTTCAGAAGCAGGGTGAAATTGCGACCAAGATGCCCAATGTCCGTGGCCTGCGAACCATCAAGAAGGAAATCCTCAAGCTGGTCGAGACCTATGTCGAGAAGGCTGAGGACTTGCAGTCCGTACGTCAGCAGATGGTCCCTCCCCTGTTGGAGTCAGTTCTCGTCGACTACAACCGCAACGTTCCCGGAGCTCGCGACGCCGAAGTGCTGAAGGCCATGTCTGCCATCATCACGAAGCTCTCTGCCTTGATGGAAGATCAGGTTCCTAACATCATGGAGAATGTGTTTGAATGTACGCTGGACATGATCAACAAGGATTTCTCTGAGTTCCCCGAGCACCGTGTCGAGTTCTTCAACCTTCTCCGCGCGATCAACCTTCACTGCTTCCCTGGTATGTGCAACTTCCTTTGCCTCGAAGACTCAAAACTAATTCGCCCAGCTCTGTTGAAATTGGACAACCGCCAGTTCAAGTTCGTCATTGACTCTTGTTCCTGGGCGTTCAAGCACGATAACCGTGACGTTGAGGCTGCTGGTCTTAACATGTGCCTTGAGCTTATTAACAACATTGCGGACAAGACAGATGTCCAGACCTCCAATGCCTTCTTCCAGCAGTTCTTCATCACGATCCTGCAGGATGTGTTCTTCGTTCTTACCGACAGCGACCACAAGGCCGGTTTCAAGACCCAGTCCATGGTCTTGATGCGCATGTTCTACTTTGTGCAGCCCGCTGA